CAGGCCCAGGCCCAGGCCCAGGCCCAGGCCCAGGCCCAGGCCCAGGCCCAGGCCCAGGCCCCATGCTCTGGCACCCACCAATCTTTTTCACTGGCTTCAAAAACCCTTCAAGTTCCCCTTGTTCAAAAAGGTGCTCCTTTCTCCTCACTAAACCAACCCAAAAATATTTTGCTCATCAACCCTTCCCCTTTCAGAATGTCCTCTGCCGCCATTGTTGGTTCTGAATCACGGAGCTCTCCTTATCAGCATGGGTCCCAAAGGACTTTGCACACAAGCTGCAAGGGGCACCCTCCAAGGCTTCACCCCTCGAATTAGTCTCCTGCTCTCACCTCGTAATGAGGGTGCTCAGTTGGCACTGGGGAAAACTGGGGCAGGCTTTTGCTGAACCACATGGTGACGTCCCGCTTAGTGTTGATAGCAAAGGGTTCGTAACCCTCCTGCAGGCCACAGATGGTGAAATAGCGAAGGCTGCTGACATCCTGGCCCAGGTTGAGGCGTCCCACCTGGGACAGGCCCAAACTGCACACTGGGATGAAGCCTGTAAATGATGGGGAGGAAAAACTGAAGCCAGGCCACTGAGGTTCCCTCCGCTTTCTGTTTTACCCCATCCAGTCCCCTTAATTGTTTTGAAAAAGAACTTGGGCCCACTTGTAGCTATTCCATAATTCCACGCCCAGGAAGAAACACATTCAGAACTTGCTACTGAGCACAGTATTTATACAGCATCCTAAGAGTTCAATGTTTCTTTTGCTTTTGTCAATCCAATTTCTAGTCCTTATGTTTTGGAAAAAGATGCTCTGAAGTGCCTGAGCAACATCTGAAAGAAACTTTCCTAATGGATTGGAGAAACCAGTCCTGGGCAAGCATCTTCAACCTGCATCTATTATGCAGATCACAACATCCAGCAATTATGAAGAACTCAACCTCTCAACGAACAAAAAGCTGAGACCCAGGAGCACTCTGCTTACCATCCCCAGTCTCTATTTCTTTGAAGGCCAGCTCAGACCCGGAGTCACTGATCAACATCTCCCCATTAAGCGTAAACATGATGTGGTTATCAGTCAGGTCAATCATGCAGCCAACCACGTCTCCTGGCTGCCATGGGCGGCCAAAAGGCTCGCTCCCTATGTGCCAACGCTGACCCTGCAGGACGAAAAGAAAAGAAGGGACCCTTCAGGGAACAGAACAAGAAGAACAGCCAAGGGCTGGCCCAGGAGTAAGAGGACGATGCAGCCCAGACTCACCCGATGTCCGTTGAAGACATAGGAGAGGTCATCCGCTCCCAGCTCCACGTCAGGTCGCACGTTCGGGCGGGCCCACCCCACACGCATCTCACCAGTGGTGACAGCCTCAAACTCAAAGTACCACTTGCCCGACTTCACTGCGTAGAACTGCTCGGCCCGGAAAATGCGGACTTTTTCTGACCGGCCCTTGGTCAGTTCCAGACCTGCTCAGAGGCCAGGAAGAAGGGTGGGTGGAAAAGCAAGGCTATCTGTTCATAGTATCTGATAGCTGACAAATTCTGCTTTTGAGTGACACATCAAGGACATGTTCAAACGAGTCCCATGCCACAACTGAATATTCTCCCCTATTTTACCATCTCCTTATCTGAAATATTTGCATGGCCTTTTTCTTGCCTTTTTCTTTCCTTTTAATGTGCTACGTGTCTATATGCAGGAAGAATAGCCTGCACCGTGAATGCTAGCATTTAGGGGAAAAGTTGGCTGACAATTCTTCCTTTTCCAATGTGAGATTTCTAGGTATAAATAATGTGTTTTGTAATATGGGGAAAAGCATTCAAACCTGCAAACTCAACTCTCCATGCTGAAGTAGGAAGAACTGCACCATCATTTCTATTAAATTATTATGGTGCTAACCTTCCTCTTTCCATTTCAATAGTTCACCCCACAAAGCTAATATGTGAAGTAATAAAATCCACCATTATAACTCTCTAACATTTCTCTAGAATAGAACTGTACCAGCAATTGCGTCTCAATTCATCAAAACCCCAGGCACTTAAACCTTTCCATCAAAAAGAGAGTAAGTCAAAATACCTTTTGCTGGAAAGCTTTCTAGAAGGCCAAGATGAGAAAGATCTACCATTCCCCCAGGTGCCAACCACCTAAACTTTGGAGGCAGGATGCCCAAAGTCAGGTCTCCAACAAGGTTTTTGGCAAACAGGCAACCCTCTGGCTGATCGTGCCGATCATCTGGCCATTTCCAGCGAAGGGGGCAGAAAACCAGAGGATGAAAAGTGGAAGGACACTCACTGGTTTCCTGATCTGGCGGTTCAATGTTGTAGCCATAGCCAAGGAGGGTCCGCACTGCTTCACGCAAGCTGTCCCGGTTTGTTTTCTTGGTCCGCTCATCTAGTAGGTTGTAGGGCACCAGGCGGGGGTTACGTTTGTTTTTGATGTCCTGGAAGGGGTGCACCACAGGAAGAATCACTCATGTATATGGACAAAAAGTAGTTTATCAAAACATATCACAAAGCAACATGCATCTTACTAGAAAGCTGGTAGGAGTGGAAGAGATGACCTGTGGTACACCACCAGATACCACCTTTGTGGTCCCTCATCACATACCACACCTTCCTTTGCTCCCCTCCCCTGACAGGTTGTGGCTTCTAGCCATCAGTCCACAAGACCCCACAGGACTTCCTTCCTTCCTTCTTTCCTTCCTTCCTCTGGAATCCCACACCTGTACAACACTGTAAGTCCAGCCCTGCTGGACACGATCCCTTGCCCAGACATTATGCCCATTCTCAGCCAGCTTGTCCACCAATGTATTCTGGGCTGGAGTGAGCTTGATGTGGTTGAGGTCTAATGGTGCTGGTTTGTAGCCATTGGACATCATGTACCTGCAAAGGAGGAAGCCAAAGCAGGACTTTAGGACAGGGAAAGCTAAGTCATTGCTCTGGACTTAATTTTAAAGTTCTTCTGCAAGCCATCATTTCAGTGGCAGAGTGCTCTCTCTCTCTCCAATAATTCACTGGTGAGAAAGAGGAGGGGGGAGGGAAAGTATGGTGGTTCCTCTGCTTTGGGTTCTAACCAATACCAGTCTTGGGTTCTAGGTTCTGGCAGATCAGGGCTGCCAGAATGTGATCCCAAAAGAAAAAAGGCCTTGCCCTGGTTTAAAATCAAGGCTGTAAACTCTGTTGGCGGCCCCCCAGACTGCACTGGGGACTGTGTTCTCTCCTCCTTCCCTCAGTTCCTTTGTCCCTCCAGAGAAATCAAAACGTGAACCTTGCTCAATGGAGCAAGAGCTGAATAACCCCCCTTTTCTGTTTCAGCTGAGCTAAACACTGGATCACATAACCAGGGCCATATAGGCTTCTCCTGGGTGAAGAAACATTTCCCATTTCCACATCCCTGCCACTGGAAGGCACTGGTTGGGCCTGATGGACAGTTAGGACACTGTACATGCGGCACATGGGAGCTAAACCAGTTACGTTTTAGGAAGCTTTGTTTTCTTGAGGTTCTCTTCAGCTTTCTCATCTGCCATCCCCACATGGCAGCCCAGCGCGAGCAAGGTCCTACAAAGGGAAGAGATCAGATTTTTAAAATTCTGGGGGAGTAAGCCACCTCTCTCTTCTTACTTGGGCAGCAAAGTGCTTCAAGCCCCAAGGGTAATTCACAAAATCTCCACTGTGCTGAAAGACTAAATTCTTATCCAGTGAGTTGACAAACTACTTTTGCAGCTCCCCTTATGCTTCACCCCGATGGATGCTGTTGTAATTCGTGGAGACATTCCATTTGTTGTGTCTTTCTCAGTTTCGTTTTGCCTTTCCAAACTTTTCTGCCATCACTGCTAAGCAATCTCTATCTAAATGTCCATGCCATCTCTAACATGCTCCATAATCAAAACGTCCAGGCTAGATGAGGCCGTGGCTCTGTAGATAAAGATAAAGATAAACCCCCTCCTTGTTTCATAGGGGTCTCCCCACCACAACTCACTTGAGGGTCTCTCCTGACATCTGCAGGTTGTAATTGCGTTCAGGCTCAGGAAGGCTGTGGAAATCCAGCAAGCATGGGTGTAGACGTTTGTTGTCATCCCGGATCTGGGATGGAACAAAAGCTGATCAGGGATCCTTGTTACGATTTCACTGGGAGGTGAGAAGGGGAGCAAGTGACATCACCTGAACCATTTATTTATTTAGTCAACGCCACCCATCTCAATCCAAGTGACTCTGGGCAGCGAACAATTTTACAATCATTAAACTCATTAAAACAATTACGAACTATGACCCCACTGCACAAATGACAGGAATTACACAGGTTGCATCACTTGTGTGATGTCATCGTGAGATGCAGGACGCTGCTGTGGCCTGTTAAGGATGCCTATGGCTACAATATTCGCCTTGCTGCAAAAACTAAAGAGATGAAAACCTCCAGCATCTGGTTCCTAGACATCAAAACTCACAGGTCCGTATATCCATCCCTGCTCTATGCGAGTGAGGGCCCAAAGTTCATGGATATTCTCTGCCAATTTCTCACGGATCTTCTCAAGATGAGGAGGCAATACAATCTGCAGGTAAAAAAAAAAAAGGAAAGAGAACAAGAATGAGAAGTGGAGGCGTGCCTCTCTGAATTAAAAAAGGCATTTTGTTTTTTATAAATATTCTGTATCTGGGTAAGAAAATTTGGGCCACAGTTTGTCTTCTTTGAAGCCATAAACAAGAAAGGCCATTCCAAATTACCCACAGCTTTCTCCACATCAAGAAAAATCATAGTCACCTTCTCTTTCGGGAGAAGGATTTATATTGTCAATAACATTCAAAATATATCTGGTATTATCCCTCATCTCTTTCTTTGGAACATACCAGGTCTGACTGGGATATGCCAATTCAGTTAAAAGGTCATTTATTCTCTTGCCATAAAAAGCTTATACTCCGTATTTCATAAAGAAATAGATCTACATAACTGTAGGCAAGTTGAGTCATTTCCCTTTTTGTAAATAAAATAAATAAAATCTTCTTTCCATGATGAAGGAAGTACCTGATGTTTTTAGATTTCATTCACTACTTGGGTTAATGGCTTAACCAAGATTTCTTGAAAGACTTTGTATTATATTGCCAAAATATTAAAGGAGGCACTTAAATGCTCAACTCTCAGCAAATGTGCCTTTTGGCTTTAGAGGAAAAAAATGCTCAAATTTTTGGCAGCAAGAGAAACTGGTGAGTCAAAAATGGCAGAATCTAGGTATAAACTGGGTGGGCCTGCCAAATATTGACTCAATGTGTCTGGAGGAGAAGGATTGCCCCACATTTCAGAGAACTAGTTTCCCTCCTGAGGTGGCAATCTTTAAACCAATTAATGGCTTAATTACTCCAAATCCGTTGGCCTGACTAAAAGTTCCCCACTCCCTAATTAATCAGATCTCAGGGTTTTAAACTACAGTATGACAAGCTTTTTTCCCCCCTTCCATCATATTTGATGCATGCATATTAATGCAGATTTGATTAATTAGGTTGGTTGACTATCAATCAACCAGGAGAAGAAATGTATTTCTGTATTTCTAGGTCAGAGAGAGATGAGGGGAATGTGAAAGTACCCACAAGCCCTGCCAGGCGGTCATTGTAGCACTTGTGACTGATTTTGCCCTCCAACCCTCAAATTGCCCACTCCAGTTTTCCCGCATTTTGCTCTGGTGTTTTCTGACAAACAATGCTGAGATGTTCCTACCTGGATGGTATCCACAGGGTAGGGAGTGAATGAAGTGTGCGACAAAGACTGGGTCGGCCCTAGGAGGTTCCGGAAACCATTGATGTCGTGCTTGTACTCCTTGATGGGCTCCACACGCAGCTTCTCACGGGGAAGGAGACCCTCATAGCAGGGAGCGTAGCCCGGGGGTGGCAGGAATTTGAAATCCCCATGGCGCCCTCCCAGGAGGAACCGTACTCTGGCAGCGGGGAAGAGGGAGGAAACGTAGATGCTTATTTATTAATGGCATTGGCCAGGATATTGGCACTTCCCTCTGGGAATTCATGCTCAAAATGAGCTTTCTGTCAGGCCCAGCCCAAGAATGACGAGAAACAGTCCAACCAAGTTCAGTTCTTTTATAGATTACACCATATAGACAAAATCTTGCCAAACTAAATCTGTACTATGCTAACCTAATACATCTAGTCTGGAAGATTCTAGGGAGCGGCTATCTTAAGTTTCTTCTTCCCAC